CCAGGTGGGCATAGGCTAGGGCCCTGTGTTCCCTCTAATTCCCTGGAGTGGCTCGTTCTGGCCTTCCAGCCTCCTGGACTAGGAATCCTAGCCTGATGCTGGCTTTGCCAGTGGGTTGCCTCCTTAACCTTCATCCCAGGTCTAGAGCCCTTGGGATTGAAATCTCCTGCCCTGTGGATGCACTTAGCCATTTTTAGCCCATGCAGGGACCCTCCAGTGTGTAGCTGGGACCCTGCCTGCCACACTGCTGTCACCCTGCCCATGGGGCTTCCAGGCCCAGCTGGAGGCTCCTCTTCTGACCTGCCATGGTCTGTCACGTGCCACCAAATACAGCTTGCAGCAACCAAGGTCTTTTGTCTCCTTAAGGAGTCCCTGGTAGATGACACTTGGACCCTAGTCTTCTCTCCCTCTGAGTGTGCTTTTTAGTGAGTACCAGGCTGTAGCAGGGCCTCCCCAGTCGTTCCTTTTGTCTGGAACACTTTCCCGAGTCTTGGACCTATGTGCCAAGCTGCCCCTGGCGCTTCCTCGGGAAGCCTGGGTCATCTCCAGCCACGTCACCCAGTGAGGGTGTTCCTTTCCAGAATGGGACACTGTTCTGTTCTATCCAGGCCTGTGCATTCCCTTCACCCAGTAGTCATTGGCATTGTCATCATTGCCATCATTTCACCTATCTGTGGGCAGATGTTGGCTCTCAAAGCAAAGCTCTGAGACCCAGCTCGAATTGTCTCTGTGCTGCCCCCTGAAGGGCACACAGGACACTTCCAGGTCAGGAGTGCTGTTATTCCCACCCATGCTCCCTTGGTGGCCCTACCTGCTCCTCACTAGGTATTTGTCCCCTGCTCTGAGATTTTTCTAAGCTGCTGGAGGTGACACAGTGCACAGCCAAAATAAACACTCATGGAAGGAGTGCCTAGGGAGCAGAGAGGGATAGTCACCCTGGGAGATAAGTTAGCGAACTGGCGTTCAAGCTGGAGAGCTGGGTGTTCAAAATCTTTCTCCTTATGTGAAATAAAATCACCATACTCCTCCCTTCTCCTTCTACAGATTGAACCTAAGGCTTTTGCACTGAGCCATTCCATTTTTTATTTGTTTGTTTATTTTTCAGAGGGGGTCTCACTAAGTTGCTAAGTTGCCCAGGCTGGGCTTGCACTATGTTTTTCCTGCCTCAGCCTCCCAGAGTGCCACACACTACCCTGCCCAACCACTATAATGGATTTCATTCGGGGTTTGTGCTTGACCACGATCATCGTTCCCTCCAGAGTGGGACTCTCTTCCCTTTAAACATGTGCTATCAGAGAACTGGACTTAGGCTCACAGCTCTGCACAGCTATGTCATAGGAAATAGAGGATCATTACGAGGAACTGGCACATCTGGTCACTTCTTGGAGCCCAATTTTGCATGGTCAGACTTGTAGACCGTTGAGGGTGGGCTTCTCTGGGGTTTGCCCAGCCTGCCTTCCCACCTCATAGGTGCTGGTCTGCCAGCTCCAGATGCACTGGTCGGGAAGGCAGAGGTCTGCTTGGGGAGAGGACAGGGCAGAGGGCTGTGGGAGGCAGGCTGGCCCTAGCGCTGTGGCACCTGACTATCCCCGGATGTAGCCTTTTGGGTCTAATTTCCTTTCCCAACAAACCAGAGTATCAGAGCTCCTGGGGCAGGGGCTGGCAAGCCTGACGCATAGACAAGTCCAGCCTGCTGCCTGTTTGTTTGTTTATTTATTTATTTGGGATGGGGGTTACTGGGACTTGAACTCAGGAGTTGGTGCTTGCCAGTAGGTGCTGTGCTACTGAGCCATATCCTCAGCCCCTCCTGCCTGTTTTAAAACCATGTTCAAGCTGAGAGTAGTTGCCATTTTTTTTTATTAAAAAAACTAACAAAACAACAATGAAGACAAAATCAAAACAACACAAAAACAACAAAAATGATACAAGACCTCAAAACAAAATGATAGGAATTAACCGTGGTTGCTGCATTGCATACTGTTATCTTCAATGAAGTTGCTCAGTCCACCAGACATAAGAATGTAAGATTGATCAAACAGTCAAAAACCGTAACAATAAAAAAAAATTAGAAATGATGCAGAGCTTCACCATACAAGATGGTAGGAGTTCAGCAATGGTTTTCATACTGCATATTGTTTTCAGATCAGTTGGGGTTGCCTTTTTTAATGGATTTCATGACCTATAGAAGTTATATGCAATTCAAAATTCTGTATCCAAATTGCATCCACAAAGTCTTGCTGGAACTCAGCCACACTTCTTCTGTGCGTGCTCCATAGGTGCTTCCGCCCTGCCACTGTTACGGCCTCAAAGCTGGAAATATTTTCTAGCCTGTGCAGCAAATGTTTGCTTACCCTGTCATAGAAACTCTGGCTCCGTGTTCTATCCTGGCTTCTGGGCTCATCGGTGTCTGAGATGGGATCCTGCTATTCTGAGTTCTGTTTTGACTTGTCACCTCCCAGGAGGCAGGACGGGCACATTCTGTGTCTCCCCTCATTCCCTCCAGGAGCACAGCCTGGCTCAGGGATTATGAAAAGGTCCAGCCGCGGGGTAGGTAGAGGCTGCTAACTTGAGTGCAGAGGCAACATGGAAGACCACCCCTACTCCTCATGTTCCACATGTGGGAACCCCGGCACGGCATCTGATTTTACAGATGCATTGCAGCTTGCTAAGGGGTGCTGAAAGTTGTCGCGAAAAGGCTACTCTGGAGTCAGGAGCAATGGTGCACACTACTTAGGCTGAGGCTGGAGGATTGCAAGTTCAAGGGCAGCCTGGACAACTTAGGAAGACCCTATCTCAAAATAAAAATAAAAAGGGCTGGGGGTGTAGCTCAGTAGTAGAGCTTATGCTTGGCATGCCCTTGGCATGGAGGTCGGGGGTTCCATCCCCAGAACAACAACAAAAGGCTACTGTGGGGTCCTTTCTGTTCTCCCATAATAGAGCGGCTAAGAAGTGCTCACTGCAGGCCCCATGTTCTTCTAGGCCAGTGGTGGCGAACCCGTGGTGTGCTTGCCTCAGTGAGTGGGTTGTTTGTTATCACTGAAAGCTGTAAAAGTTTCGCCATCACTGCTGTAGGCTGTGAAGAGGTTCTGTAATCTGTGTGAGGAGGGGTGTGGTGGGGTGTGGTTTCCCAGTCACTGTAGAGGTTTGAACAAGGCTTTCCCTCCCCAGACTACCCTGCGCCAGCCAGAGCGGCATCCTGTCCTTCCTGTGGGTGACTGGACCCCACCCAGCAGGACAGCCCAGCCTCTTCCTACTTTGTTTTGGCGTAACAGGGAAGTGGGGAGCAAAGGTGAAGAGAGAGGAAGTGGCTGCCAACCAGTGCCCTGTCACCTTCGTCTTCCCGGGTCCTCTGCAGGGTTCTTTTCATTGTTTTGAATGAGGCTGGGACACATATACTCTTCACCTCAGTTCAATTTAACGTATTTGGGAATTTATATTAAAGAAAATGAAGAAAGTGTGGAAACAGAGCAAAGTCTCTTACTGACCTCCTGGTAGACTTAAACTTCAAGTCCTTTCTTTTCCTTGGTGTGGATTATTTTCTTCCTAGTGTGCACGCACTGCATTTCTGGTCCCTCCCTGGGCCCTGGTATCCCAAGGTCCCCAGGCTGGGCAGAACCTGCCTCTAACTGGCTGCTGTCTTCACTTCACTGCCTGGCTTTAACCTGGGCAAGAACCCCCTTGGCCTTCTCCATGCTGGGATGCTGTGTCTGCATTGTCTTTATGTGCCTTCTTGTTGTGGGGGCAGAATGAGGCAAGAACCCTAGACAGTGTGGACCAAACCATCCATCACCACCTCCTGCTGCTCACTGAGCCGCCAGGGACGTGCCCAGCACAGGGGCTGGTGCAAGATGCAGCTGAAGCTCCCACCTCTAGGTATGGCTGTGCTTTGCACCTGGCCTGCTTGGGAGCAGCATTGAGGAGCCTCTGATTGTGATTTAGGCTGTGGGCAGCCTTTGTTCTTTGCTTTCTCACATTCCCTAGGTGACTTAGCAACTGGCTAGTCTGGTCCTCTCGATTATAAGTGGTGAGACGGAGGTTGGATGCTGGGTGCAAAGACCGGCCCAAGGATGCTGAGTACTGTGGGACCCCAGACTGAGGCGCCAGAGCTGCCAGTTCTCCCCACTTGGCTGAGAGTGGTGCCCCTTGCTGTCCAACCATACAGAACCAGTCTTTTCTGCTCAGCACATGTTTGGCTGCCTTGTATTTGTGCTGCCTGCAAAATAGCATTTGTAGCTTTTCTGATGAGCCAGAAGTGGACTCTGGTGCCGAGGCCTGCAGAGACTTGCCTCTAATTGTCTCATGTTTTATCATGTCAAGAGAGCCTGAGCGCCTAGTGTTGCTTATGTAGGATCCTCAGAATCCCGCCTGTCCAGTGACTGTAGCCAACAGCTTGTTAAGGCATTTTGTGTTGCTTTTGCAGTGATTGCTTTTCATCAGCATTGACCTTCCAGGTAAACAGTTTAGCTTTGCCATCTCAGAGTGAACAGAGAAGAAAGGGCCTTAGACCTGCAGGTCTGGATTTTGAACAGGTGGTGCCCTCGGAGTTCGTCTGTGCCTGAGTGAGCAAGAGGTTATCTGACAGAGAAGTGGGATGAACTTGCCCTGGGCCTGTAGCTGCCCAGACTTTTGAAACTCTGTGTTGGAGCCTTCAACTCTGGGCTTCCCCCACAAGCAGCGCTAATGAATCCTGAGAGTCCTCCTCCTTGAGGCCCACCCCTTGGCACTCCTGGCAGCCACACCCAGGCGGAGAGGCTGTGGAAGGACCCCTGAGGTGGGCCCATCCCTGCTCCATGAACTGAGGATGTGGCAGCGTATGAAAATGTCACTTGCATTGCCATGGGCTGTAGCTCTTGGCAATCTCCCGTGTCTGGCAAGGTGCAGGCAGAGCAGAGGCTCCTGGGAGTTGACCCTGTCTCTTATGGGACAGGTCAAATCCAAGGCAGGGTCAGGGTTGGCTCTCAGTGGCCCGGCCCCAGCCTCCAGACCTTGTCCCTATGCAGGTGATCAACATGGATGGGACCAAGAGACGGACTCTCCTGGAGGACAAGCTTCCGCACATCTTCGGGTTCACACTACTGGGGGACTTCATCTACTGGACTGACTGGCAACGGCGCAGCATCGAGCGGGTGCACAAGGTCAAGGCGAGCAGGGATGTCATCATTGATCAGCTGCCCGACCTGATGGGGCTCAAAGCCGTGAATGTGGCCAAGGTCATTGGTGAGTCTGGGGAAGTGAAGGGAGCTAAGACCGGTCCAGACCTTGATGTGAGTGTCCAGCAGGGGCCACACTCAGGAGATGAACAGGACAGGACAGGACAAGGTGATTGTACATACATGGTTAAGGACAGGTAGCAATGGGGATAGCATTTTGCCCAGGGATATGGACTAGGTAGTAGTTATCGACCAAGAGTGTCAGTAATCATTGTGGTTAATATTGCTGAGCACCAAGGGTGCCAGACCCTGGCTGAGGGTCAGAGTGCCCATTAGCCCATACGGTAATCATAGTGGCTTCCCTATTGACACCAGGCAGAGGGAGGCAAAGCCGTGCAGCTGGTGAGTGAGCAGACTCAGGACTCACCTGGATCTGTCTTGTTCTTGTCACTGGGCTGTGCTGTGACTGTTGTCCACTCTGACCAGGCTGGGACCCTCAAACACACACCTTTTATCTGAAAACCAGGATCGGCTAAGAGCTGTCTTAGGAGACCTTTGTTTGACATGACTGTTGGTCTCTGAGAAGGGTTCCAAGTGCAGACCCATGGGTTATGTTGGAGAGAGCCATATCCAGGAGTAGGGGAGATGGGACTGGGTACCCCCTGAGGCAGGAGCCCTGTTCCCAGCTGGGGCCCTGCTGCCTAGTATTGTGCCTGTGTGTCGAGATACTTAGGGAACCTTCGCCGGATGGGAGAGTGAGAGGAGAGAGACCCTAGCTTATAGTTGAGCGCTTACAGTCCAGCAGGTGAGACACCCCTGATTAGCTCTGCTACCAGGCTGGTGGCTACAGCTGTGAGTCAGAAGGGTACCTGGCTCTATGATGGGAGACAGGGTCCTGAGCTTGGAACTGAGGGGACACATGGGTGGGCCAGGGTGGGCCTGGCAGGAAGGACAGCTGAGCAAACACCTGGGTGAAGTGATGTGGTGACCTCGGGGACAGCTGTGCTTCTTGTCACTATGGCCAGGTCTTTATCTAACCTACGCTCCTGAGGCCAAGACTGTGGATGGGACAGGGTTAACAGCCACCTTCCAAAACATACCTACCCCCCACTGTGGAAGGTGAGATCTCCTGTGAGCGTTCAGAGAGCCCAAAATAGAATGTGGGAGACAAGAAAAATATCTCCAGGGGACTGTGACTTAATGTTGAGAAATTGCCTCCCTCTTTCTTTGGATCTCATGATTTTTTAAAGGATATGACCAAAAGGATTCTTTTTTTTAACGTAAGCACTAAATTAAAACTAATTTTAGCAACATGTTAATAGCAGAGTGAGAAAACAGGCTGCCCTAAAGTAAGTGAACACGGTTCTCACCATCAGCTTTAAAAAAGAGAGAGAGAGAGAGAGAGAGAGAGAGAGAGGAAGGAAGGAAGGAAGGAAGGAAGGAAGGAAGGAAGGAAGGAAGGAAGGAAAGAAAGGAAAGAAAGGAAAGAAAGGAAAGAAAGGA